AGAACAACACTTACAGTTTTCAAAAGTTTTCAAAAGAAAAAAGGTGGGGACCCAGACTGGGTATTACGTTGAGTATAATATTGATATCATGTCCGATGTATGTATACAGTTTAAGTTTATACGCTTGGGATGAGAAGGCATTCAATTGTCTTAGAGTATATTTTAAGTTCTGATGGAGGCCGCTTGAGTTGCCTTGAGAAATATCCATCAAATTGTGCACAAGTATCCGATCAGATATCGACCAGATTCAGTTTCCGTTACTGGAACAAATTTCCAGTCCAGATATATACCAAAGATCATGATATTGTATTATTATTGATGTTTACTTTAGTATGGGTGATTTGGGGTAAAGAGGATCAGTACTCACCCCCATTATGTTTTTCAGGTAACAGGGTCGGGCCGGAGGTGTGAGCTCGAGATGTGGTGGTGGTGGTCGTGCACTTATTTCAGTGGACATTCATTAAGTATTTGATATGTCTGTATAATAAATCACGTTTTTAAGTATTTCCGCTATGCATATTAAGGCTTGAACTTGCATTTTAATAAATTTCAGATTTCAGGTTCTTACCATTTCAGAAGTATGAATATGGTACAGTTAAATGCAAGTTTACATAAATCTGTTTTCTTTATGTCTAAAGAAGTATTAGACAAAGTTTAAAGATAAATGGATTTTCAGAAAAGATAAGTTTGAGTAGCACCCCGAGTTAGTCGCAAACGATTTCGAAAGATTTATAAGTATTTTTGAAGTAAAAGTTGCGAAAAATTTACTCTGATAAGCGGGGTGTTACATCAACACAATTAATCATTCTCCTCATATCAACCATTTTCTTGAATTAATCAAAGAGAAAGACTTACAATCAATCCCAAATTTCAAGTGTCGAATCTGAATTACAAGCTTAATTCCTAAGTACTATGAAGAAGAAGAAGAAAAATGAAAAAGTAACATTAAGAAAAGAGGAAAAACGAGAAGAAAAAGAGGGGAAGGAGAAAGGAGTTTGCGTTATTTTTCTGAGCCTAGGGTTCGTCTCCAGAAGGGGAGAATAATATCTGTCGAAATCCCGACGCCAATATATATAGGAGAGAGAGGCTCGCGAGCGTGGGGTAGCATCACGGCGTGAGGGGTGCCGGTGCCGCGGCGCGAGGAGTCTTCACAGCGTGGGTGGAATCATTGTGACGTGGCGTGGTGTAGATGGCACGGCGCGAGAAAGGTTCGTGGCGCGGCGCGGAGCAGGAGCATGTCGCGACGCGAGGACCTCCGTGGGCATGGTACTAGAAGATGCAGCCTCAGTCTGGGTCGTGGCAGGCAGCGCGGCGTGACACGCGCGTGAGGCATGGGTGAGTTTTCGATCGATTTGCACGGGTTTATGTCTCAGGCTTGTTTGAACTCGTTCGAACTTTGAATTGAGTTCTGTTTTTTTCTGCTTATCGCCGACGAACTCTTCTATTTTATTATTCTTGCACGACCAATTTTCGTTAGAAATCCGATCCTCCCGAAGCTTTCAACCTGCAAACCATAAACGAAGAAAAACCGAAAAAACATACGGAAAACACATAGAAGAACAAAACAGAGCAAAACACACAATAAACTACAAAAATGAATAAAAACCAACGAAAAGACCTAAAACGGGGGAAAAAGAGAGACAAAACAATAAGGCAAAACGCAACAAAGATGGAACAAACAATCCACAATGGAGTTCGGGTTTGTAAATTTTGGCAAAAGGCATGGACGAAGCTAAATGACGTAAAAATTTTCTAAAAGATATTCCTTGGTAGAATAAATTGTGCCAATCATAAAATTATTCGTGATAATCAATCAGCAATTAGAAGATCACAAAGTATTTTGTACAATAGTGAGTCTAGACATAAACGTCCGAGACTTAATTTCATAAGAAAATTATCTCATGTGGGAGTTATATTGGTTGACTACGTGAAGTTAAAGATTTACTTAATGGATCCGTTTATAAAAAAGTGAAACGGGATAAATTGTACAAACTGGTTAGGAAAATCCACAACACACGAACGTTCTTAGCGGTAACCCAACTATGAGAATCGGAGATTTCGAAACCTTGATTCAATGGAAAAACTAAGTTTTGATAGTTCAGTAAAACACTTGGAAAAAATTTTTCGCTCATTTCTAGAACCGTAAAATGTTCAAATCTACCTAAGTGGCGAGGTTAAGTCGAGGATTTTTAATAATTCCTATACCTAAGAGTGGAGTAAGGCAGAATACTCTTTATAGGAGAATCACTTGTAAGTAAATAGACCGATTCAATCGACACTTACTAAATAAGATATGGTCCAAAGGCTGAAATGGACACAACGTGAGAACAAGAAATTGTTAGAGCTTTTGTTGTGTGAGTACTATTGTCTTGGTACACACGAGCAACTGGTAAGTTCAAAGATTCGCGCTACTAACTGACTAGTGTATCCGACAGTAATTCACTAAGGAAGATTCAAAGCCACAAGCTATCTATCCTGATGCAATGACGGTTCGACGGAACTCTCAAGTACTACATACATGCATTAATTTCATTCTTGTGGGGGATTATAAGAAAAAATTTATTTTTTAACGATTTAACAGTCCTATTTTTTGTAAGTGGAAGAATTAGAAATTTTTCAAGATTATTTTAAGGTGAATGAAAGATTAATTGTAAGTGTTATATGTGGAATGGTTGAGTTTAAGTAACTCAAATGTTTTAGTATTCACAAAAATTTTATTTTTGACAAATGTTTGGACAAACCGAACGAGCCATAATCATGCATTATGTATGTTAGAATTGTAAAAGAGATCGTTGAAGACGAGTACGAAAAAACAGAAAGATTCTGAGTCCGGACGTGCGCGTACAAGCTCCCGGCGCGCAGTTGCACACAGGGCCTTGTCGCGGGTGCGATGACCGTAGTGGGCGCGACGACTTATGCTGCCTTGCGGAAGGGCGCGATAGCTCGTCGTGGGCGCGACAAGCACGCAATACTGAAGCACTTCTTCGTACCGAAAAGGCTCCTATTCAGTTTTGGTCGACTAAGCACGTCCCAAAAGGTGTCTTTTGATATCTTGAACTCCCTAGAGATGTGTTAGAACATCTATAAATTCCCATGAAGTGAAATGAATACATACATCAATTTTTAAGAGCTATTTATATCTTTTTACAAAGTTCATAAACCATCTTGTGTTCTTTGTGTTTGTTTCTATCTTGAGAGTTCTGAAACTTGAGTATTGTTCACTTATGGTTTGTGCATTTGAGTTACCTCTATACACAAATCGAAAATCATTACATTTTGGAGGCGTTAGCCAGGAACTGTGGGTAATGTACGGGGCTATTTCGTCTTAATGAGAGCGTATCTTACGTGCCTCTCGACTTATTCGTTTTATCGTTTTCCTTCGGGTTTCTTAAGTCATTTTCTTGATATTCACAAAACAAATTCTACCAATTGCTAGCAAAGAATTTAATAAAATTCTTTTTGTTTTTCCAACTTGTTCATGTACTTTTGTATTAATCAGGTAATTCTAATTTTTATTTATTTTACTATATAATTACTACAATTAATTAATAATAAAGTAACATTAAATATTATTCTATTCTAAAACTTTTATCAGATTATTTATTTAAAATTATTAATTCTTTTTTTTCTACCCATTAAGCAAGTTATGTTTTATTAAAATTAATTAATTAGTGCTTATGGCATTGGCAACCCCTTAAAATTCCGTGCACAATTGCTATAATTAATAATTTAAATATTATTTTATTAAATTAATTGGTCATAATCAGTCAAGATTGCATCAAGATAAAGATTATGTGTAAGTTAGATAGTTTATATATCTTTTTTATTTTTACTAATAATAAAAATTTATAAAATGCGATTTACTCATTATCTATCTTATGAATTTAGATATTGCATAAACACTATAAAATTTTATTTGCATTTGTGCAAGTGCACAAGATGAAACACTAGTGTTTATATATAAGCTACATGTTATTATTTTTATTAAATGAACCATATCGAAGAATCACGACTTAATTGTGCATTATATATACTACGTACGGGAAAAAATCAAAACTAGTCCCACAAGTATATGGGGGTTAAAATTTTGGTCCTGACGTAATGCAGAAAATATGAATATATAGTCCCACAGCTTTTACAAAATGATCAAAAGTAAGACTTTTTTTGCCGGATTTACGATTTCTGGCTCGGAATGCCACGTCGCCCACATGTGGCTTATTTTTTCACACGCTGGCATCCGACGTAGATAGAAAAAAATTCAAAACTAGTCCCACAGGTATAAGGGAGTGACATTTTTGGTCCCGGCGGTATGCAGAAAAATATGAATAGTCCCACAGCTTTTAAAACATGAATAGTCCACGTTTTATTGGCAGCTGTGCTTATCTACGTCGGATGCCAGCTGTGGCGTTCCAGGCCAGAAATCATAAATCCGCCAAAAAAAGTCCTACTTTTGATCATTTTTTAAAAGTTGTGGGACTATTCATATTTTCTGCATTTCGTAGGGACCAAAATTGTCACCACCCTATACCTATGGGACTAATTTTGAATTTTTCCCTACTACTTACTGATCGATTTAAAATATACAGATATACTACCATATTGATTTACAAAGTGTGTAATAAAAAATATGCATAAAAATATTTATTATTTTTTATGATAATTTTATTCAAATCAACCATTCAAATTAATTATTTTTTTATTATAAATCAAGACAACTTTCCTCCATTTTAATCAACAGCATACATCAACCAATTTCTACTTTGGGTAAAACCAAATATAACCCTATCCAAATTCCACCCACATTATCTAAATACCCCTCATATTACACAATGCAACTCACCCCCAACACCCAATATTGTAGATAATTAAACAATTGTTCTTCCTAATCCCAACTATTTTTAATGTATACCTCATGTAGCAATTTATACCGAATTGCAGATAAAAATTGTTTTCTTAGTGATCTCCAAACAAACACCTTAGCCAGCAACAAATTTAATCTAACCCGCCAGGTCATGCAGCAACTGTTCACCCATCAGATTCGGGTAAGGCGACGTGTACTGCACCGACGTCTGGCACTCCTCCATACCCTGCTTACCGTAGATTAGCGAACCCTCAGACGGGGGACAAAACCGTAAATCCACGCCTGCACCATGCTGATGGAGGCCCAGCGTCAGCGACACCCTGCCGTGGGTCGAGCATTGCAAAAACCCCGCATCGTTTGGGCGGTTGGTTACGGGCAAGATGGACTCCGGGTCGACCCGGCCCATCTGGTCGCCGGTGGGCTTTCGGTTGTTGGGCCTGGGTGGGTTGTTATTGGTCGGTGGGCCCTCCTTGAGCTCCTCTAAGTATATTTCCTCCACCATGGGCTTCCACAGCCTCACCCTCGCGTTTATGAACCAGTTCGAAACCTGGTGGCGGCACGAAAAAAAAAAATTGAAAATAACTTCAACCATTATAATTTTTTTCTTTTTTTTTAATAATATAATAAGAGGAAAGAGACAAAGTGACTTTGCCTGGCTTCTGGAGAGACCCGTTTGGCGGGCTAAAATGTGCTTATCTACATCACCTGGATACCTGCGCGCACATATACATTTTGAGCATGTGACAAAAACTAATCAATGGTCCAACATGACATATATGACAACAAACAACTTATGCATTAAGGAAAAATTGAAGATCTAGTTATGTAATTAACATCAAATTGATAAATAATTAATTTAGTGATTGCGTTGATTTTACAAAACTAACTGGAAAAAAAAAAACCTGAACTTAGGTCTTTCCATCGAAAAAAGCCGGTCAATATGACACGTGGCATTTTTTAAAATATACTAACTCATAAGCCAATCACATTGACCTGCCTTTTCTCAGTGGAAGGATCTAAATTCATCTATTTTTTTCCAAGTACATGGTGTTTTATACAATAAAATTAACACAATTATCATAATATTTATCAATTTGGTTTCAATTACAAGACTAAATCTCCATTTTTTCCTATGCATTGACAAAAATAAGAATTAGAATTTTACGGGTGAAAAAAGTGCTCGAAAAGCCAGGCCCGAAGAACAGAAACCGAACGCTCGGGAAGCCCACGTTGGGGCCTCCAAGGTTGAAACTCAATGCTACTCATCTGCTGTAGGGCCTTCTGCTTCCGGAGGGTCTGATCGAGAATCCTCAGTCTCGGAGTCTCCCCTTTCACTGTTCCTGGTGCCAGGCTGTCCTTCTCCCCCATGGCCTTCTTTGTGGCCTTAATATGGCTCAAGATCCCGTCTTTCAGGCACCGGAAATGTCGGGACATTGCTTTTGAGGCCAAGCCCAAGTAGGCTCGGGCGGCTCCTCTCCCAGCCACCGACTCGAATGACAATGTCACGGCCCGCATTTGGTCGCAGTAGTGTTTGTATCTTTTCTCCACCTGCAAACCAATACAAAAATTAATTATATATTTTTTTTTTTTCTCATTTACTTTCCAAAAAAAGAGATAAGAATTAGAAGGTGAACTATAATTAATATAAGAGAGTTTTTTTACAGAAACAAGTTCAAGCAAGATCAAACCATGAAGAGTGTGTAAGTAAGTATGTTAATTATCATTGTATTTTGTGTTAATTATAATTTCATTTGTTACTACCTCTTCCAGCATTTCAAGCAGCTTTATCTTCCTTCTCTGCAGCTCGAGCATGTTGAGCGAGTAAAGCAACTGTCTTTCAACAGCATTCTCACTCTCCTTCCACTCATCACCGTCCTTGGGGATCTTTTGGGCCGACCCGAGATGGCAGAACTCGGTCAGAAGCTCCTGGGCTAGGCCCAAATACCTCGAGTTCCGAATAAAAGCCAGCTGTTGCTGCTGCTGCTGTTGTCCAAATCCAAACAGATTAATGTTTTCCTGTTGTTGTTGTTGTTGCTTGAGCAGCTCAGTCAAATCGTGCTGCGAGTGAAACCTGTTTTCTTGATTCATGTTTTGTTCCTTGCAGTTCGTGTACGGGTTCTTCTGAAGAAACCCTATGCCGGACGAGTTGAGGCTGTAGATCTCAGGCCCGGGAGGCCCGAAACCGTGCAGATGGGCTGGGATGGTTTGGTTATTGTCGGCATTCGTGTAGTAGTCGGTTATGTACCCGGTTAGTGATTTATCCTCGTCATAGCTCCGGCTAGCCATCTATCTATACTACTCTAAAAGGACGAGTGTTTTTGTAAAAATATGAACTACCTAAAAAACCCTTACTTTGGCCTATATTTAATGGCAAATTAGTAATACACTAATACACATCATATTTTATATTTTTAAATATTAAAATGAATTACCTAATAAGCCCTTACTTTGACATGTTTTAAACGGCAAATTAGTAATATATTAATATCCATCATATCTTATATTTTTAATTATAACTAATATTTAATTAATTAAATACAAATACACGAACAAATCATTCCACACTCCTAAAATCAACTACAGTATGTTGGTTTGGCACCATTATTTCTCACGAATTTGTTTTCTTCCACATATCTCTAAAACTGTTTGATAGGATATAGAATTGTTGTTTTGAAAAACGTCATTATTTTTAATATAATTTTAATGTTAATATTGTAATCACATTTCATAACTCTAATATATAAAAGTTCCTTAAAGAAATTAAAATTGATCCCACAAAAAAAGCATAATAAACACTTATAAAACTAGAAATCGATATTGTTTTTTTTCTCATAACGACCACAAAGTATAGAAACATTATTTTCAAAATAACCTATACAAAATGTGTAATAGTATGCGAGATTAATTGTTGAATGATTGTTCTGCAACCTAAACTTCTAATCAATTCAATTTCTTCGATACATAAGACCAGAACAATTTTATGAAATTGTATAATACTAAAACTTAATTTATTTGTTTTCACATTAAATGAGATACCACTTTAGCAACATGAATTAATTTTAACCATATAATTATCTACAAATAAATTAAAAATATCTCGAGAATCATAATATGATTTACATGTTGAAAATTAATTATTTTAATCAAATAATTATATTCATATATTATCATTACTCATCTACCTATTAATATGTGTTATTATAATAAAATAGTTTTTAAGAAAAAAATGTACGAAATAAAAAATTTATATATTTGAGTATAAATGAGAAGATTATAATTATATATAATATAATATAAAGATATAAAATTAATTGATATAAATAAGACATATGATTCAAAAAAGTGCTATACTTTAATTTTATGTATCTTTTAAAAAACCTAAAAGTTATACACACACACACACACACACACACACATATATATATATATATATATATATATATATTAAAATACATTTGAAAGAACAGTTTAAAGTTAAAAAACAATAAATCTAATAAATAATATTAAATTTATAACTAAGTTGTAATACTTACTAATAACTATGAAAAAAAGTAATAAATAAAAATATTATAATTAGTAAAAGTATTTGTAGAACTTTTAAATTTGTATTTATTGATGTAAATGAGCCAAATTGTTCACCACATGTTAAATTTTTGCGCTTATTAGTTCAATGTATAAATTTTAGACGATAGACAATAGTTATTTATACTTTATCCATGTAGGTTAGAAATTTTATTTTTTTAAATAAACATTGATAATTTTGATTTTAAATAACGTTTTATTTGTTATTATTTTTTTAATATAATATATAAATACCATATTATATATATACAACAATACTTTTTATTATTTGATATTTAATGTGCAAGAAATGTAACTCAATTGATAAGTTAATAGGTAGTCTTGCGATAAAATGAGCGATTTCTAAAAAATATATGGATTAAAAAGTTCATGTGTTTAATATATTTTTAATAGAAAAATTATAAATACATCTAATTAATAACAAAAAATTCTACATAAAAAATATAATTTATAAAGGAATAAAAAAATGGTACATTGCAATGAAAAATCCGACGGTAAGACATCCACTGAAAATCCCAAATGATATTTTATTCGTATAGCTGTCATTGTAAAATTCCATTGACTATTCCGAGATCAAATTACATTATATTCAAATTTCAGTGGATTTAATTAATCCAGTTATCATTATTTGTTATTGTGTGAATTTCCGTTTGAATTTTTTTCAGGTCATTTTTTATCAGGTGGAAAAAATGTCACTGGAAATGTAAGAATTTCAATGGAAGTTCTATTCGAAATCTACCTGCAGTGGTGGATACAAAATAATTTCATACTTGAGGCATTATTTAGTTAATAGAAAAGGTATACCAGTAAAATAACATAATGTCATTATAATTTATAAATTATATTTTTAATAATTTGTCATTTTTCTCATCTATAATATATGTTACACATCAATACAGTTACAATTAAAAAAAATAACTTTTCTCAATTTGACATAAGCATATAATTGAAAATAATTATGTTTTTTAAAATTTTATGAACAAAAGTTGACTCGACAATATTATTGATGAATTTATGAATTATAAATATTTAATTGTAGTATAAATTAAAAAAAATTGTAATTAAATATAATATAATATAAGATATACAAATAATTGATATATAATGAGACAGATGGTCGAAACAATTCTAGACTTTATATCATGCATTTTTTGACAAATCTACAGTTAAGAACATGTAAAAGAACAAGATAAACGTTTAAAACAAATATTAAATATGATAAATAATATTAAAAATAAATAAGTCGTGACACGTACTAATAAATATGAAACAAAGTAATAAATGAAAATGTTATAATTAATAGAAGAAATATAAACCTTTTATAAATATACTTATCGACGTAAACGAGCTGAGTTGTTAAACGCTTGTTAGTTTTTTCTCCTTATAATTTTATGTGTAAATTTGATGTGATAGACAATAGTTATTTGTACATTTGTTCATGTAAGTTACCAATTATCCATGTAAGTTACCAAAAAAAAATCTTTATTATTCTAATTTTAAATAACTTTTTATTTGCTATATTAGTTTTTTTTAATATAATATATAAATATCATATTGAACATATAAAATAGGAAATATTCTAATTTTTAAATATTTAATATGTAAGAAATGTAACTCGATTGGTAAATCAATATGTAATCTTGAGATAAAATAATGAGTAATTTCTGAAAAAAAAATAAAAAAATATAGGAACTAAAAAGTTCATGTGTAATATATTTTTAATAGAAAAATTGTAAACACAATTAATCAATAAATACTACATAAAAAATTAATGTTTAAGAGGACTACAACAAATTGCTATATTGCAATGAAAAAATCAACGGTAAGGTAATCTACATAAAATTCCGACGAATATTTCATAAATATTGCTTTTATTGGAAAATTTCATTGGCTATTCCAACAAAGTTCAAATTAAATTACTTGAACTTTAGTGGATTTAAAGATTTCAATTACTTGAATTTCCATTGGATTTTTTTTTGGACCATATTTCAATCGTCAAAAAAACTGTCATTGGAATTGTGCGAAAATTAAATGGAAATTACATTGGAAAGCTAATTGCAGTGATAGATCTAAAATAATTTCATATTGGGGCATTATTTAGTTAATAGAAAAAATATACTGTAATGCCCCGCTTATTTGTGGATTATTTGGGATTTATTATTATTATTCTTTTTATTATTGCTATTATTATTATTATTATTATTAATTGGTGATAATATTTATATTTTATTTTATTGAATGCTATTATGTTTATTTATTTGTCAAATGTGATTAAATGCTAATTGTGAAATTTGTCTAATTGTTTAATTGATTTTGTGATTTATTAAATTATTATTATGAATAAATGTGTATGTGATAATGTGTAAAATATATATATTTAATATTTTTTGATTTATTTTTATCGCGCGTTTGCATTCGGAATCGAGCCCGATAATTTTGTTGTGATCGAATTGGGCCCGAATATATTTGTTTGAATTTTTATTTGAGCCCGTGAGCTGTCTTGTTGTACCAAACGGCCCAAAAATTTTATTGGCTCAAATCTCTCGGGCCCGACCCGACAGATTTTCCTTTTCCTTTTATTTTGAACGTGTAGTCCTTGTCTTGGACAACAAGGAATTTTGTTATATTCCCAAACCTAATA